AAGTGCTGAGGGCAGGGAGGGGGACGAGCAGGTCCGGACCCCGCTCCCAGGTCCTAAGTCCTCCGCGGTTCTGTCGCCTGTGGTCCTGTTTCCATTGTTGTGGTGTCGTATCTGTGCTCTGGCCTTATCTGGGGGGCGAGGGGAGACAGAGACCTGGGTTTGAATCCCCCTTCCTGCTTACCAAGCTAGCCTCTCTGGGCCTCAGTTTCCCTCTCTGTAAATCAAATTTCCCCCTAACTGGAAGTATCCTGGGTTTCCCCTTTTGCTGTGGCTGGGAGGACATTTTATTCTGTTTTGAGGCAACAGAGGAGTTCTGCAGAGCCCTCCTGCCCCTTCTCCAAAGCACACACACACAGGCCTGTCCTTTGAGGCAGAGGGACCCCCTCTGGCACCCAGGGCACCCTGACTCCTACTTTCGGCTCTGTCTCAGGGCCGTGCCCCTCTCTTTTTCTGCTCTGCATTCCGGAGCTTGGTCGCCAGCTTTCTCTCATGCCCACCAGGGCTGAAGCGGTTGGTGTTGACGGCAGCTTCTCTCTTGGTGCGACCTTTCCGGCCTCTTCCTCCTGAAAACCATGGCTGGGGTCAGTGTGGAGGTGGGCTGAGGGAGGTGGGCTGATGGGATCCCTTACAGGTAAGGCAGGTGGGCAGGCTGCCGGGCGGAAAGGGCTTGGGGTGGAGTAGGGAGACTGGGGGGTCATCACCCTGTAGCTCAGAGGCAGTCACACCCTTGTCAACTTGTTTTCTCAGCTGTGAAATGAGAAACCCCCAGATGACCTGTGTGTGAGGTCCCAGGCTGAGTAAGACAGGGTTCATGAATTGGAGATCAGAAGGGGGAGGCTTAGGGAGTCACGGATTGACCCAAGGGGTCATGAGAATAGCCTGTCTGGAAAAGAGCGACGGGTGGGGAGAAGTCCAAGGAAGGGTCCTGATTCAAGGGGGAAGGTCAACATTTGTGGAGGGTGGGGATTGAAAGTGGCCTTCCAATTGGAAGTGGCCAGGAAGGTGGCAGAGCCCTGGGCCTTACCCAGGTAGGAGTGGGTCAGGCTGTAGAGGTCATACTCATCCAGGCTGAAGTCTTCGTCCTCAGGTCCTGGGGGCTGCCGGGAAGGGCTGGCTGCTCGTGGAAAGGCGGCCATCGTGTCTGGCTTACTCTCCCTGTCTCTGTTCTCTGTCTTTTAAAGCGTTGTTTGTGTCTGGTTTCCTGACCAGGCGTCTCTCCCCTTCCAATTCACTTCTCCCGATTTATAAGGCCACGTCTCCTCCTCAGCCCACACTCTGGCTCCAGTCCCTCAGGCCCTGGCTGATGCAATCTGGCCCTTTCCCAGAATCCAGCGCAGTAAACATGAGTCACGAGAGGGGGGAAAAGATTTGGGTCCTGTAAATCCCAGCTCCCCTTGTCCCCTCCCTCTCACTGGGGTCACCCAGCTGGGTATTTTTCCACAGAGGTGATCCCAGCCTTTCAGGGAGGAGGAGAAAGAGGCAGGGCCAGGGCATAAACAGTCCTTAGGATCTTGGCCAGTAGGGACCTGAGGGCCTCACCTGGGCTGACTCCTTCCTGTCCATTACCCCTCTGACCCTGTACCTCTCCTGAGCCTGGGTTATGACCACACAGATCACCATGTCCCATAATTCTAGCTTAGATTCAGGACCATAATGGCAGACTATGGAGTGAAGGAGGGAGAGGGGACATCGACATGCCCCCTTCTTGTTCAATTCCACTACCATTTACTCCACACCACTACAGGCTCAGTCAGTGGTTCTCACCCCTGTCACACCCAACACTCCTTTTTTTGAAGAAGAAATAGCTTAGAAAACCCCCTTTATATTCTCAAAGAGGGTCCCTAGGTAATCTCCCCCCCTTAAGAGGGCGGCAAGGAGCTCTGGTGGTGTAGTGCCTAAGGCATTTGACCGCTAAACCAGAAAGCTGGCAGTTCAAACCTACCAGCCACTCCTTGGAAAGAAGATGGCGCAATCTACTTCCATAGTGATACCGCCTCAGAAACCCAAGGAGGGGTTGCTATGAGTTAGGTTCGACTCAACAGCAGTGAGGTTTTTTTTTGTTTGTTTGTTTTTGTTTTTAAGAGGGAAGCTAGAGGAGTAGTTAAGAGTGCAGGTTTTGGAGTCAGATACTGTGGGTTCAAATCCCTGATCCACTACTTCCTACATGTGCCCCTCTGTGCCTCAGTTTTCTCCTCTGTTAAATAAGGATAGTAATAATGGAATCTACCACATAGAGATGGTGTGAGGATCAAATGTGATAATACATGGAAAGGTACTTGCAACAGTGCCTGGTACAATGTAAACACTATATAAGGGATTAGTTACATAATTTCAAAATAATTCAACACCCTGACTGTAACATAAAGGAGACATGAAAGGAAATGAATTTATAACAAAATAATGTGTTTCAAAACATGGGTCTACTGAGGTAGAAGACATAATAAACAGATGTTTGTACCTATTTTCTGCAAGGAAGGGGTCCAACAAGAAACACGTCACAATGGTAGATTCTACTCCTGCCTGAAGGATCGGGACGGTGTGGGTCACGCTGACGCAGAAAGGCCACAGACTCAGTTGCTCACTCGTGTTTTCCTGAGCTTTGCACACTGACCTCCAGCTTCTGCTCCCCAGGGTCAGAGAACTAGGCAAACACAGCGGTCCACTTATTTATTTATTTTAAAACACTGAGTCGAAGTCTAAGGTTTTCTTTTTCTTTTTAACTTTTTATTGTGATTTGGGTTAAAGTTTGCAGAGGAATATTAGTTTTCCATTCAACAATTCATATACATTTTGTTTCTTTTTTTCTTCTTCACCCTTTATTTTGTGATTTGGGTGAAAGTTTGAAGTCTAAGTTTGTTTTTTAATTAATTTTGTTGTTGTTGAGAGTATACACAGCAAAATGTACAGCAGTTCAACTGTTTCTACACGTACAATTCTGCGACATTGTTTATATTCTTGGAGTTGTGCAACCATTCTCAGTTTCCTCCTCCGAGTTGTTCCTCCCTGCCCCCTCTTAACATAAACTCACTGCCCCTAAGGTTTCTAACTACTATTTGGAGTTGTTTTTGTCACTTTGATCCCATAGAGATAGTTCCTCATGGTTTATTCCGCCCCCCCCACCCCCACCCAAACTCTGGTTTCCAAATCAACCAGGACTTTCTCAACAGGGGCCAGATGTTAGTTCTCTGCTCACACCCTCCTTTGCTTTGAAGCTATTAAAATACTGTTCCATTTCAGTATTACCTAGACCTCATCCTTTCCCCAAATGCTGTAATAACCCAGTCTTCTCCTTTGTTTACCCAGCAGCAGAGCTTCTGCCTGGTCCGAGCCAGAATGAGAGCTAGCTTTTGCCTTCCAGCTTTGGGTGACCCGTGAGTTAACAGCCAGGAATGAAAGTGAGGACAGGAGGACACTTGAATAAACACAGGGCTGTGATAATAACAACAGGCCAGATGGTAGGAGACAAGAGGGAAATAACCTCAAGTTAAATAAAGATTAACGACTGTTGAGTGGGAGAAAATTAGGAAACACGGTTTGTTTGTTTGTTTTTTACAAAGGAGTGGGCTGAGTGTAGTTGAAAATTCATTGCCTCTAACTTGACCGAAGAACAATTGATGCTTTTGAGTTGTGGTGTTGGCGAAGAATAGTAAAAGTACCATCCACTGCTAGAAGAATGAACCAATCTGTCCTGGAAGAAGTGCAGCTGGAATGCTCCTTGGAAATGGGAATGGCCAGACTTCGTCTCACCTACTTTGGTCATGTTGTCAGAGGGGACCATTCCCTGGAGGACGTCATACTTGGTAAAGTGGAGAGTCAACAAAAAAGGGGAAGACCCTCAATGAGATGGATTGACACAGTGACTGCAATGATGGGCTCCGGTACAGCAAGGATTGTGAGGCTGGCACAGGACCGGGCAGTGTTTCGTCCTGTTGTACATGGGGTTGCTATGAGTTGGAGCTGGCTTGATGGCACCTAACAACAACAACAACAACCTGACATGGAATGAGATTACCTACCCACTAAACCTGATGCCATTGAATCAATTCTTTCTGACCCACTAACCTGCTTTCATTGAGTCAATTCTGACTTACAGAGACTCCCATAGGGCTGCAAATCTTCTTTTTTTTTTTTTTTTTAAATTGTGATTTGGGTGAAGATTTACAGAGCAAATTCACTTTCCAT